GACAGAGCCACTTCCAGAAGCCCACAGAGAGGCCAGGGGTGCTCACACAGGCAAGCACCCGGCCTCTTCGCTGCTGGAGGATTTCTCAGGGCCCTGGTGAGCTGATTGGGAGCAGAGTGGGGGGAGGAAAGTTGTTGCTGACTCTGCTGAGGACGCTTCCTGAATCCCGATGAGGGGCCAGGATGAGAGAGGCAAAGGAGCTGGGTTTGGGCAGCTGGGTGTTGACCTGCACCCTCTCTGTCAGTGGGAGTCATGCGGAGACGACAGAAGCAAATGCTTGAAGACCCAAGAGGTCATTCGGAGACATGGGTGGAATTGGGGGGCGTGCTCTGGAGCTAAAATGCTAGGGTTCAAATCTCAGCTCCCCTACTCAGCTGCTGGGTGGCCGTGGGAAGCTGCTTAGCCTCTCTGTGCCTTGATGTGTTCATGTATAAAACAAGGATGGTAATAATAACCCACTTAATTGGGTGGCTGTAAAAACCTAAATGGGTCCATCTATGGAAGACCCTGGTAACAGCATAGTGCAGTTCCATAGAGGTGAAAGTGTATACAAATGGGGGCTCTGGTGGGCTGGGGGTGTTCCTGGGCCACGGAGAGAAGGTTTGATGAGGGGCTGAGGTTCTTGCTCCTTTACCAATGGATGGGAATGAGCTCTCATTAGGATATGAGCCCAGAGACTCCAATAATACTGGGGCCCGACCCCGCTCACAAGGCAGGGAGAGCTTGCAGGCGAGGCCGCAGGGCCCTAGAGTTGTGGGTTCAGGTTACTGCTGCTTCCCGCGGGGACATTAGGCTAGGGGGTCTGGCTAATAGGCTCAGCTTTCATCTGCCTCCTCTAACGACTCTTGTTTCCCCCCCCCCCGCAGTCTCATTACCGACCGTTCTACGTCAACAAAGGCAACGCGATGGGGTCCAACGAGGCCCCGTGAGTTCCAGACGGACAGAAACGAGGCACTGCCACCCCTGCCCTCCCCGGCTGATCCTATTCCTCTTGGCATCCTTCTCATCTGGGTGGATGGGAGCCTCCCCCCTCCTCCCCCATCAGCCATGCTCCATCCAGGCCCCTCTCCAGCGTTGGGACTTCTGATGGTCACCGTCTTTCCTGTGCTCAGAGGCCAGCCGTCGCAGGGGTGGGACATAGGTGGGCCTGACTCCCCTAACCCACCACCCTCCTCCAGGGTGGATTGCTGGGGCTCCCATGGGTGCCCACGTGGTAGCAGCCTGCCTCTCCTGCCCCCCCCCCCCCCCCTGCTGTCTTGAGGCCTGTTGGCCATTTCTCTCCAGGGCTCCTTCCCGTGTGATGCGGTCAGTAGATGCTTGGCCAAGATAGTTGCCCATCTCCCACCCGCATGGGCCCACCTTCTTCTTCCCAGCAGCCCGGCCCCATCAGGAGACTGGCCCTAAGTGCCCTGCTCTGGTCCCGCCCACCAGTGCCCAGCCCGGAGGAGCCTGCAGGCCCTGGCCACCATGCAGGAAAAGCTCCCAGTGTCTGGCGTCATCCTGGCCACTTTGGGCGGCACCATATCTACTCTGAGTCTGAAGTCCCTGAGAATGGGCTCTCCTGGCTGTTAGGATGGTCTTAGCCAAGATACTTCCCTCTTCCACCAGCTGAGATAAGCAATTTCCTCACCATGATACAATCCATCTACGAAAACAGCTACGGGCCCAGCTGCCCCAAGGGAAATGCCATTTACCTATGGAATTTTCATGGTTCTGCAATTCTGTGTCCTCTCCAGCAATGGCAAGTGAGCAGGTGGGGGGAAAGTGGGGCTGGGCTGGTAACTTGCAATTTCCACGTAACTGCCGCTGTTTCCAAGGGTGCCTTCCATACTGCTCCGCACCCGTCTTCCTCCTCCCTCTGACTACCTTCCATGTCACATGCCGTCATGGGGCTCGGGGCCTGCAGGGGGGACCAAACCAGGAACGGCAAGGTGGGGCCCTTCCTCCTCTCGCTGTCCCTCCCAAGGGCCCTGAGGGTTCTGGGGAGGGGGACATTCAGCCTGGGCTTTCCCCTCCTGAATAAACCATTGATCACCCACTTCTGTACTGAACAAGCATTTCTCGAGGGTCACCAGAGGGGCCCTCTGCTGAACACTTCCCCACCGCTGGGGGCATTGGAGTCATCGTTCCTCTTTCCTCCAGAAGACGTGGCTCCTTCAGGTCTCCCTCCTCTCCTTCCCCACCTCCCATCAGAGTCCCTGGGGTGCAGTGCAGGAGACTGGACCTTTGTCAGGCGGGCCTCAGCTAACAGTGAACAGAAGGGAGGATGGTGGGGTAGGGTCCTGCGGTACATTGAATACCCAGAGGGCTTTGCGTGCTCTGACCGCCGCCCCTACCCCCCTGCTAGCCAGCCTATCCTGCAGTCCTTGGAGGGGAGCAGGACCCAGGAGTGGCTGGAGTCGAGACTGGCCAAGCGCTTCTCTGTGGTGGGGAGGGCTTTCTGGGCAGGGGGACCCCACGGCCAAGGCCTGGCAGGAGGACCAGTGGGCTCCTGAGGGCAACACCATCCTGGGCTGGGGGCATGCAGGAAGGAGATGAGGCTGTCCAGGCCCCGGAAGCCCAGAGAGGCCAGGAGGGGTAGT